TTTGTTGTTTTCATATCATGTTTTTGTTGTTTTCATATCATGTTTTTGTCGTTTTTATATCATGCCTCTGTTGTTATATCCTTTTGTTACTGTTTATTTATTAATAAATTTATATATTATTTTCATATACATTTTACTAATTTCCTTTCATCTCTCACACTTCTATTATAGAGAAAGGGCAAATAGCAACATTAAAATATCTCCGCTAATTAATTCCCTTTTAATATGCACGAATTTCGTGCACTGGGCTACTAGTAATAATAATAAAAGATCATCTCTGTTTTCAAACATTTATGAGAGTCAAATTGCTTGATTTTGTGTAAGAATCTGTATAAGAATCAGTTTCCTTTATCCTTCTGCTACTATTCTCCAATGAATTGAAATTCATATGCAAATTAGAAATTATTTGGAAAAATTATTGCCAATTTACAACCTAGCCAAAAAGAGAAATGTTAGCCTTAAAAATATTTTAGAAGCCTATGTTAGGGACTAGTTTTCAGTATTTTTGTATGAAAAACAAAAATCTAATAAATTTGAGTCTTATTTAAAACCAACTACAGAAAAGTATAGAACTATTTTCCTGGAAAGGCTTACCTCTAGAAATGTTATTTTCCAGCTAAAGGGTAAAGATTAAGATTTAGGCTTATCAATTTATGACCCTACTACAGTTGCAGTACACTCATTCCTTCACTAGAAAGGTGCATTCAGACTTAGGATAACCTCATTCCGTGCTCAGCTTAAGCCATGTTGTGGGGTAGGGGTGGGGTGGTGGGGAGGGAAGGTTGTCTAGGAGAAACTAGGGATTCGTGTGCTGTACACATTTGTGCAAATGTCTGGGACTCAGTTGGAAAGACATATTATTTCTGAAATGCAATTGCTTGCCCTCTGGCAAAGTTAATGGTATTAATTTGTAAAGGTTCATTTGGGAAATGCTTGTGATTAATGCTTGCTCATTTGCATAACACTGTATTGTGTAAATAAAGCTGTAGCCTTTTGCTTTCCAACAGTGGAGTGCTACCGAGATGATAAAAACTGGACAAAGGGGGCTACTATGGGATACTTAAACTAGGTCACATTGAATTTTAATGCATGAATCCTGCTCTGGTACATTTTATATGGGTAATGGGAAAATGCAGAATGCAGTCTGTTTACTGTGTAAATCTGCCTTCCAGATTGTTCAATAACCATATTTTCTACACTGAAGAACGAAGGCAATTCAGTCTCAGGCTGATTTAGAAATGTTATTAAAGAAAATAAGGATGAGCATCTTCTTAATTCTTACATTAAGATGTAAACAGGGTAATTATAAAATAATAAATTCTCCCCCAAATAAAAAAATGCTCAGTTTCGGAGCTCAGTTATGCAGATTACAGCACCATTGCTAAACACAGAGAGCATGGATATGTGATACTTGTGAATTTGCCATCCACACTACGTGGTGTTACCACCCAGAGTCTAAGTATGACTCGGAAATTTTATTTCTTTCTCTATTATCAACAGAGCTTTTGAGTGGTGACAAGGAAGGGGGTGGTCACATGCTCACGCATGTGCATTTGTCCATGTCCCTGTTAGTGAATACAAAGACAATTACTGCCATGGAATGAAGCGCAAGTCAAAGGTGCACCTACTCACAGAGCCATTCTGGGGTGTAGAAAGAAGACTGGCCCTCATCCACCGCCCACACCCAACCCATGACACAAACAAAAACAAAAACCTGTAGTCATTCTTTCTTGGTCTTAACTGTCCCACCCATAAATGAGGGTGTTTGTACCCTGTTCTAACAGAAATGCCATGGAAATGATTTTTAATCATGGAACTGGAAAGGTCCTTCTGAAAATCAAGTAGTCTACTTTAAGTTATATCACAGAAGAGGAAACTGAGGCCCACAGTGGTGAAGAGACTCATCAAGTCAAAACTTAGAACTTAAATCACATTCAAATACTCTCAATCTAGAGTTCTACATCATGTGGCCTCTCTGTGTACGGAGTAATAAAAAATACAGAGCTGAAGATCTGGAACAGGTTCTGGGAGGATCCGATCAGGTTAAACCTTAAATGCTTTCATTCACACTGTTAGTAAATTTGCTGCTGGTCTCTGGAAAATAGTATGGTATTTGGCATAAAATAAAAGCTCAATAAATACAAAGAAAATGAGCAAAGTTAATATGTGAGGCAACATAATAACATAGAAAAGGCTGTGGATTTAGAAGCAACAGACCTGAATTTATGTCCTTGCTCTGACATTTGTTGACTATGAAAATTTATGTAATTCCAAAAGACTGAAAATGACTTTAAGTATCCACCAATAAGGGACTAGTTAAATAAGCTGGAACATCCACATGTAGACTACTGTATTAGTTTTCTGTTGCTGTTGTAGCAAATGATCCCAAACTTAACTGGCTTAAAACAACACACATTTATTATCTTAATAATTCTGAGGGATCATATTCCTTTGGAGGTTCTAGGGGAAAATCAATTTCTTGATTTCCAGGTTCTAAAGGCTGCCCACATTCCTTGGTTTGTAGCCCCTTCTTTCACCTTCAAAGACCACAAGGGCCAGTAGAGTTGTCCTCACATCATATCACTCTAACCTTTTCCTTTGCCTCCCTTTTCTACATTTAAGGACCGTTGGGCCCATAGGATAATCGAGGATAAAATATTTTATGGTCAACTGATTGGCACCTTAATTTTATTTATTACTTTAATTCCCCTCTGATATAAGGTTACATAGTAAAAGGTTCCAGAGATGAGGATGTAAACATCTTTGCCTAGCACAGTGGTTCTCAACCTTCCTAATGCCGCGACCCTTTAATACAGTTCCTCATGTTGTGGTGACCCCCAATTTCATTGTTACAAATTGAACATAATTAAAGCATAGTGATTAATCACAAAAACAGTATGTAATTATATATGTGTTTTCCGATGGTCTTAGGCGACCCCTGTGAAAGGGTCATTCAACCCTCAAAGGTTGACCCATAGGTTGAGAACCGCTGACCTAGCATATCTGTATGAAACCTGTGAGGAAGCTCTCTATGTTTTGATAGGGGAAAATTTTCCAGGATATATTTTTATGTAAAAAATGCAAGGCAAAGAAAAGTATACTACCTTTTATGTAGAAAAGGGATGAAATAAGAGTATATATTCATACTTGGTTTTCTTTCCATAAACAGACCCAGGAAATATATACAAGAAATATTAAAGTGGTTACACATAGACAGGAACAGCATGGAACATGGGAGGATGGGGAATGCGATGGAACAAGATTTTTCATTGTATCTCTTAAAATTAATTTGCTTTTTGAACCATGTAAATATATTGTTATTATTATGTTTTAATTCAAGGAATTCATAATTGCCTAAAGACCCTATTATTCACTTGATAGTCAAGCCTTATGTTTTGAAGAGTCTGTAATCAACCTTGTTATTTTTCTCTTATCAAGTTACCTTTTCTAATATCCTCATTGTCAGTGGCTTTGTATTGAGCAGTTCTCTAACATGACATTCATAGACTTCATGGAAATCTGCCTCTTTAGCAATATTTATATAGATTCACTTTGCAATTTATTGCATTGTATTGTCAGATGTTTCCAATATCTAGCATTGCTGCACTGGGCATGCTAAGACTAAACATGAAGCACGTCCTCAGGTGGGCCTTCCTTTTGTAAGGAGTCAGTTAAGTAGTGAACATTTTAATTTTATATTCATACAGTGACGGATATTTTAATTTCCCTATGTGACTGTAGACATTTGTAAAATATCTATGCAAAGCTGTTAAATATACTTGGATCTATTTCAGTATTCATTATTCTGTCTTTTCTTGCAACAGTCCTTTAATTATTACACCTTAAGTCCCATAGTAATATTGTACTTTAATACGTCTCTAGTAGTTATGTCTCTATAATTAATTATTCTTCTATTTACAACATATTTCTATTCCTATCACATTGATTTTTTTCCCCAGTCAGGTTTACTGAGTTATACTTTACTGACAGTAAAATTCCTTTTTAGGTATTAAGTTTTATGAGTTTTGAGAAATAAAAACAGTTGTATAATCACCATACCAATTAAGACATACACCCTAAAAACTTCTTTCATGCCCTTTTGTATTCAATTCCCTAACCCCACCATCAGTCCCTACTGATCTGATTTCTGTCTCCATAGTTTTCCTTTTCAGAAAGTTATATAAGTGCAATTATATAATAGTATATACAGTATTTATTATTTTAGTATTTCCAATAAACATCAATCCTATAACAATGTTTTATAAAATGGCTTCTCGGGTGGAGTAACTCAAGAAATATCACATAGATATGAATCTTCAGATTCAGATTTGCATTGGTCATTGGCTTTACTTGGTAATTGGGTTTCATTATAAACATTCTAATATTATTTATTTTGATTTCATGTTATTTTATGTCTAATTTGAAAATCAACTTTCATAAATATTAATTTATACTTTTTTCTTGTTATCCTTTTGTAGCAGGATAATTAAAGTGGTTAGATAAAATAATTTACTAACCATTCCCTATATTTTCATGTCTGAGAAAATATAAATTATGTAGTAAATTACTTTCTCGGGTGTTTAATATGATTTGGCACACACACATGAAACGTAACACCTGGGAGCAAGAGTAGTAACTGATTTTCTTTAGCATGTATTACATTTTTTTCATACCTTCATTACATTGTAAACTTTAAAAAATATTTTCTGCTATTTAAGTATTTTTCAAAAGTAAACATAATTGGTGAGGTTAAGTGTAAAATGATATCAATGAGATTGATTACTTACAGAAAGCCTTGATTTTTTTTATATTAGCCCCTCTATTGCTCAAGTTTCTAGTGTTGAATCCAAATCCCTGGAAAATCTGGCACACTGAAGTAAGTGGGCCACCAAGAGGAGTGGCTGCTAGACGATATGTAAATATGAAGAGATGTATGTACCCAGAACAATCAGACTTCCAGCTTGACAGACTACAGAGAGCAGGGAGAAGGCGATACTCACATCCGAATTAAAGCGAAGCTGACAGACATTACAAGAAATAACTTGTTTCTTCTTTGGGGGAATGGACACTCCGAACGTGTGGTTAATAACTGCTTTTTGCACAGGATCCATCTGAAGAGCAAATGATAAAATAATCATTTTATAACTTCAAAGGATAGAAAATAGTGTGAGCAAGTAAAAATAGCTGTATTATTCCTTAAGGCTTTATCTTCATTCCCAAACAATGATAATAAAGACTCCCATTCAATAATAATGTACTGTTTCCAGGACTTGAACAAAACCAAAAATAATAAACTGGTTTGAAATCATAGCACAAATCAGAGGAGAATCCAACATCCCAAGAAATCATATTCATATAAGGAGTCTTGAAAAACCTTAAAAGAATCATAAAACAAGGATATTTAAAATCCAAAGGTCAAAGTTAAAATTAACGTTAATATTTTCCCTATATGAGGTGATAGTATTTATGATAGTCTGAAATGGCCTCAATGACAATTATTACAGATATATTTCAGTTTCTTAAATTTTGATTTATGGCAAAGTCATAAGTTACAGGCTTGTCTCACAGCCCAGAAAATGTTGATCTTTATTTTAAAATAATTTATTACTTTTCATATACTATAGATAAAATTCATTCTACTGGAAATGTCCATAACAGATAGGTTAATATGCAACCCTTGTTTACATATTGAGCAAGTTTTTGACTTATAACGTGTGACTTTCCTCCCTTTGGTTTGCATATATCATACATATTCAGAAAAACATAGAGTGATGAAAGTACTCAATGACAGCAAAAGTATGGCACAAAGCTACACAAACACTTGGAGAAAGAAAGAACACTATTTGCAGAGCCTATAAAAAGAGAGACACAGCAGTGATTCTCTTGTGTACTCCAGATAATAATCTCCAGCATTAACATTGGACAACTGGCAGTTCAAACAACAATGCAGATGATAAACAAAGCATTACTGATAAACAGATGTAACACAAACTGACACACCCTCATCTAGGAAATCTCCTGAGGTTAGAGCTTAGGGTTGGATTAGTTGATGATATTTGGTAGAGAGGAGAAATTAAGACTATCCCTGGTCAGGAGTATAAATCTACTAAAGGTAAAATTAGCAACTAGAAAAACTTAAGTACATTAGAAAGAAGGATGGATTACACAATTATTGAATAGTAAAGTCGCCCATTTTTGCTACAAGTTTAAGTGAGATTACTAACTGCATTGCTACGATAAAAACAGTTATGTGGTTTGGGACACTTAAAATTTCAAAGAGGGGAGTTTTCTGGAGTAATAGAACGATTCTGTAACCTGATTGCAGTGGTGGTCACACAATTTATACATGTGTTCACATTCATAAAACTATACACACTCCCCCAAAGCCCATTTTATGTATAATAATTTACAAAGTAAAAGAAAAAAAGTTTTATAGGATTATGCTTAACTACTAAGTGTAAAATAGAATTACTGGGAAATCTGGGGATTTGATATGTTCAAGGCAAAAATTGATTATATTAAATTTTATTTAATGAGAATAAAAAAACAAGTATCCATGGGCATTAAAATCTCAATGTTCACTTTCTTAGTTTACACAGTTAAGTGCACACAAGTGCACACAGTTAAGTTTCATCTATCCATTTTTAAAACATGAAACTATACTTTCTGATTGTTACCAGAAATAGAAAATTAGTTTGGACAGGAAAATAAAATGCCATACCTATGTTGATAGAATAAAAAACTACACTGTTTTGCAAAGTTAAAAAAATGAAAGCATTTTATTGAGATACTTTCTGCTCTCATGCTCTAAAAACTACATCTGGTGATGCATAAACTGCATGGAATAAAACTATATGAGTATTCTCAAACACTAGTTTTCACATGCCACTTCCATTATTTTTGCCATATTCATGGACTATTTTGTTATTATTCAAGTTTTTTCTTTAAATCAAAGTAAAATAGACTTTTTAAAACACACAGTAATAATTATGAAACCATAGTTTTAATGTACATACTTTCCTATTACTCAACATTAAAAATGAAAACTTTCATCATATAAAATAAATACACATATCCTAGTTGTTCCCATACCACAGTATAGAAACACAGACAAAAGATACAGCTACAAAAATCTAGCCCTAAGTTTTTAGTAAACCAAGATATTTGCTGACAGGTCCGACATGACCCTTGAATATAAACGTCCCCTTTACATTTTTGAAATTATCAACCTACATAATTTAAAAAATAATTCCTGGTACAAATTTATCCTACTCTAATCTCATGTTTGTGCATCAGCCTAAAATTTTCCATGTATATTCCCAAGGTAGAAAGCTCTCTGTCCTGACACGTGAATTGTGGCTGAGCACTCCAAATACAAAGGAATGCCCGGCCGACATGGCTCAGTGGTTGAGCATTGAACTATGAACCAGGAGGTCCCGGTTCGATTCCCCGTCAGGGCACATGCCCAGGTTGGAAGCTCAATCCCTGGTGTGGGGTATGCAGGAGACAGCTGATCAATAATTTTCTCTCATCACTGATAGATATAGATATAGGTATAGATATAGATAGATACAGATATAGATATATAGATATTTGTATATATAGATATCTATATCTATTTATCTATCTCCCTTCCTCTCTGAAATCAATATATATACAATAGAGGCCCGGTGCACAAAAATTTGTGCACTGGGGGGGGGGGATCCCTCAGCCCGGCCTGTGCCCTCTCACAGTCTGGGACCCCTTGGGAGATAATGACCTGCTGGCTTAGGCCTGCTCCCGGGTGGCAGAGGGCAGGCCCAATCCCTAGGCGCAGCCCCTGGTTGGGCTCAGAGCAGGGCCAATTGGGGAGTTGGGGCGCCGCCCCCTGTCATGCACAGAGCAGGGCGGATTGGGAGGTTGCAATGCCACCCTCAGTCACGCTCAGGGTAGGGCCGATTGGGGGGTTGGGGCACCGCCCCTGTCACACTCAAGGCAGAGTCAATGGGGAGGTTGTGGCGCCACCCCCTGTCACGCTCAGAGCAGGGCCAATCAGGGGGTTGGGGCGCTGCCCCCTGTCACGCACAGAGCAGGGCTGATCAGGAAGTTGGGGAGCTCCCCCACCCCCGACCCGTCACGCACAGAGCAGGGCCCATCAGGGGGTTGAGGAGCTCCCCCCTGTCACTCACAGAGTAGGGCCGATAGGGGAGTTGGCAAACCACCCCCTGTCACACACAGAGCAGGGCCTGTGGGGGCGGGAGCGCCACCCTCTATCACCCACAGAGCAGGGCTGATCAGGATGTTGGGGCGCCTTCCCCTGTCAGGAACAGAGCAGGGCAGATAGGGAGGTTGTGGCCCCGCCCCCTGTCACACACAGAGCCACAGGGCAATCAGGGGGTTTGTGCGCTGCCCCGTCATGCTGATCCCAGTGCCAGGAGGCCTCGTGGCTCCACTGATCCCAGTGCTGGGAGGCATATTACCCTTTTACTATATAGAATAGAGGCCTGGTGCACAGGTGGGGGCCGGCTGGTTTGCCCTGAAGGGTGTCCTGGATCAGGGTGGGGGTCCCCACTGGGGAGCCTAGCCAGCATGGATGAGGAGATGATGGCTGTTTGCAGCTGATCACACACCCTTCAGGGTGGGGGTCCTCACTGGGGTGCCTGGCCAGTCTGGCTGAGGGGCTGAGGGCTGTTTTCAGGCTGGGACCGAAGCTCCCAACTGCTCCTTTTTTTCTTTTTTTTCTTTTTTTGTTCTGGGCCAGCTTTAGCTCTGAAGCTCCAGCTCTTAGGCCTCTGCTCCTGAAAGCAGGTATCTGGTTTGTTTCAGTTCTCGAAACTCTGTATCAACTCCAGCTCTGAGATCCCAGCCGGCTGAAAGCTGGTTTCTAGAGTTTTGTTTAGCGTCTATATTTGTTACAGTGTTTGAAACTGCAGGCTCAGAGGCCTGCAGCGGCCGGCGGGGAACGTTGGAGTCCTCCATCATTGAAGCAAGCAAGCCTCATGTTAGTTTCAAGCTGCCTGGCTGCTGGCCGCCATCTTGGCTGACAGTTAATTTGCATATAGCCCTGATTAGCCAATGGGAAGGGTAGCGGTCGTACACCAATTACCATGTTTCTCTTTTATTAGTGTAGATATATATATACAATATATATATACATATACATATATACACATTTATATGGTATACTTTAAAACAGAATATATTCATTACGAAGGCAGATGTGTTCCCAGCCACCTACTCCCTGAAAAGCCAACTAAGGCAGTTCCTTTAAGAAACTCTAACCAGAATCAGCTTCTGTACTTTATATACATAATCCTACTTGTACCTATAAAATCAATTAAATAAACAGCCCTTTTACCCTGACCCTCATCACCTGTCATAAAAATTTCATCCTCCATGTTTGTCACTTGGAAGAGATAGTTTCCACTTTCCACTTGATTCTCTATTTTCTTATAGGTAGTATTTCAGGAAAAGATCCACTTGTTTTTTCCCTGCCTAAATCTCTTTTATCTTTCTCTGCTACTTATCACAGAATTCTATACTTATATTTCTTATTCATCAATTGAGGAACATGATTAAATTGAAATAAAACTTGAAGTGGGAGAAAAAAGAATGCTCCATTTGCCAAATCATCTGATACCTTGAAACAAACTGTTTCTATTATATTTTGTGTATTTTCCATCTGATGTCATAATTACAAATACCTGAGAAATTTCAGTGAGGTCCAGACTTGTCAGGAACATAGAAAATGTTTTTAGATCTCTCTCTCTCTCTCTCCTTTTTAAAAGTTATAAAGTCATAAAAATCTGATCATTTTCTTATTCTTACAATATTCTAAAAGTTAGATGAAAATAACTATGATATAAACTTATACTAACTTAAATTTTCCTCCCATTAATCCAATGTAAGTTCTCATAATGAGATATGTGTAATTAAATCAATGGTAATAATTTTATTCAATCACCAATTTTTAGGATGAATAAAACAATCAAGATGAATTAAAACATTCTCATAAATCCTAAAACGTGATACATGTAAGTGATTCAATTTCGTGTCATCAAACTATATGTATATATCATAATAATTTCATATATAGAATACTTGGGAAAATTATTGGAGGCATAGCAATTAT